GTAGGGCTGGGTGGCTGTGGTGTCCCCGCCCGGGCCGCACCGGCCTCCACCCAGCTTCGGCTGGGGTCAGCACCGAGATGTGGGTCCCTGCTCAGGGGAAAAGAGATACCAGTCCCGCCCTGCGTCCCCTCAGCTCCTGCTAAGTAACCGGAGATTGCGGGGCTGGACCTCCATGGCAGGGGGCGCCCACCGTGGTGCCCGCCTGCCCTGTAGGTGGCATCTGGCCTCAGTTAGGTTTGTTCTTACTCCTCAGGTCTGGGGAAATCCAGGGATTCCTTTTTTTTTTTTTTTGGTTTTTCGCCGGTACCGGGAACCGAACTCACGACCTTGCGCTTGCCAGGCAGGCGCTTTGCCGCTGAGCTAAATCCCCAGCCCCCCAGGGATTCCATTTGGAGCCAGCATTTTGTTTTTGTTTATGAACACTGCGTTGGGTGAGGAACACGAACGTGGCCGCCTTTTCCAGACTCGTGGGACGAATTTTCGTGAACCGAGGCGCCGCGCTGTGCAGCCCATTGTGAGCTTCCGCGGGCTGGGGCCATGACACTGGAAGGAGAAGCCCGCTAGGCCCAGAGCGCGCGCCCCACCCAGACCCGGGAGGAGGGCGGGGGGTTCTCGGAGGCCACGGCTCTGCTGCTGAGCCCCCTCAGGCTGCCTGGCTTCCTCTCGGGGCTGGGGTGGGGCAGAGGGGGTGTCGCAGATCTCTGGACCAGCGTGTCCCCAAGGTGGATGTTCTCCCACGGCTGACAGCTGTCTGTCACCCTCGCCCAGACCTGGCCCCTGGCGGTGGTACCGGCGGCCTCGTGGACGCCTGACCCGAAGCACCAGACTTTGCTTCCTTCGGAGCGCGGGGCTTCCTTTCAGCCTGCAGTGCCCGGGGCGCTGGGGTGGGAGGACCTGTGGCCCTCCTCCAGGCGGGGCTGGTACGGGGCAGGTGCCAGGTCTCATCCACGTGGTGCGGGTCTTGGGATCAACAGCTCGGTCCTGAGCTGTGCTAACTCCGCGTCACACACGCACGCGCGCACACGCACACGCGCACACGCGCACGCACACACACACGCACACGCACACACGCGCGCGCGCACACACACGCACACGCACACGCGCGCACACGCGCGCGCACACACGCGCGCACACGCGCACTCACACGCACACACATTCTTTTCCAACCCCGCCTCTGGAAGGTGCCTCGCTCTCGTGCCCGGGCCAGCTGCTTGGGACCGCGGGCTTGACGCCGGCCCCTCTGTGCAGCTGTGCGAAGAGGGAGCCGGGCGCGGCCCGCAGCGGGGACGGTTTCCCGCCGGGTGTCTGCAGCCCGCGGCCTTGCAGTGGCCTGTGTGCCCCGGTTCCACAGCACGCGGGGGCTTCCGCCCTCATTGTGGAATGGAAAACCGAACTGCAGGGTGAGTTCTGCGCCGCTGTGACGGGGGTCCCGGTGACCCCGCCGTGGGGACAGGGCAGCGTGACCCGCGGCTCCTCCCCGCGGCGGGGCTCCGCCCTGCACCATGGCGCGTGCTCGGCGCCCTCCGCGAGCCCCGGGGGCCCTGCCAGCGCGGGTGGCGCTGCGGAGCTGCTCCGTCTGATGCAGGAGGACGCTGGGTACACGGAGGGTGTGGGCACGCACCCTGTGCGCGCGGAGCCGCGCTCAGCACCGAGGGCGGACGGCGCCCACCGCCGGAGGACGCTGCCCAGCTCCCTGGCGCCTGCGGGCCGAGGAAGGGGCCTGTCTGTTCTCCTGCCCGGCGGCGACGCCCCGGCAGCGGGTCCTCTGCCCCCCACGGCGGCTTGCGTGCGGCTTTCACAAGAAGAGCGTCCCTGGGCCCTCTCGCGGCGGGCCCCGGGAGGCTGCGGCTGCCCTCGGCCTCCGGCC